TACATACTCTCTTCCTTTGAATAACATTTTTAAACAATTAGTGCTAATTTTATCTTCTGCATTACATTATTTCCTATTTGTTACTGAAGTACTTTGTGTTTTTGTCCAGAGAAAATCCAAGACATGATAGATAGATAGATAGATAGATAGATAGATGATAGATAGATAGATAGATAGATAGATAGATAGATAGATGGATGATTGATAGATGATTGATAGGTAGGTAGGTAGGTAGATAATGATAGATATGATAGATATGATAAATAGAAACAGATGAAGAGAGAGAGAGAGATTTGTAAAAACATTAATATTTTCCAAATCTTGACCTGTCTTTTGAAAACCCTGGATCTTGGCCCTTCTTTGTGAGCTTGAAAGTGGAAATAAAGATGGAATTCTTGTTCATTGGCTGACCTTTGCTCTTTGATCAATCCTCAGTTTCTTTTTACTGTTTCCTTCTCTTGCCTTTGCCTGTGTAATCTAGCTCTCTTTAGGGAAATTCCTTTGTCCATCTGTTTCAATTAATATTTCTCCAAGTGGAATTTGGAGAAATGTTCAGCTGGTCCTTTCCTCATTTTTCCTCTCCTCTCCCTCTCCATAGATAAAAGATTGAAGAAGGCAAGGAGTGTGGGGAGCAGATGAGAAGCCAATTAATTTGCATCCTTTTTGATTATCTTCATTTCTGTAGCAATAGGTACAGCAGGGAATCCTCTGGGTGTCTGAAAGCACATAATGAAGTATACTTTAACACTCACAGGAGCCTCCATTTTCCCCTTCAGACTTCTCTTAATTAGGAGCTTTTCAGCTTATCCCAAAATACCAAAGAGAGAAAGGGTTGTTCCAGCCAACTGCCATAGGAGCAGCTAATCTTTTACCAAAATACAAATAATAAAAATTAAAATCCACACTGGAGAGAGAAAGGGATGGGCAAGTGATGTATTGAAAAGAGGACTTTTGGTATTGTTATCAGGGTTCCTCTACGGTACCCTTTTCATTTTAAAAATAGGCTACTGTGATTTCTCTCAGAAGGACGTCCTTCTCCCGCCAAATGTTTCAGGTAACCATAATAATTTGAGTCTCTTAGCAATGGGCCTGACAGAAGATGTGATTATACTTTTCATGCCTGGTAGCATACTATCAGTGTTTGTTGCAGAAAAATCAAATCCAGAAACACACACAGATAACCGATGCATCAGGATTCATTAACTTCTTTATATACATAGGAATAGTTGAATAAATGTGCAATATCAACAGGTGGTTCTTCCAAGTAAACACAAGGCAGAACACAAGCAGTTAGTTCATTTCAGCAGACAAGCCCAAACAGACTGCTAGTTTACTTCACCCAGCAGCAGACTGGTTAAGTTTCTATTTCAATTCTCTGCACAGACTCAGATCTGTTTAAGTTCCCATTGGCTGACTTAGTTGCTATGCTTATTCATTGGCTGACCTTGTTCCCATGTCTCTCCCAGTCATGAATATTTTAACATAGGCCTTTTCAAGCCTACTTGGTACCAATAAAAGGGTATATTTGGAGCTCAGGGTTGAAATGAGGGGTCCTTGGTGCTCTCTGATCTTGGTTTTTTTTTTTCAGCACTGATGATGCTATCTAGTTTTGGGTAATGAAACATCTGCAAGAAAACAACCAAGCTCAGAGAGCACCAAGGATCCCTCAAACCTACTTGGAAATGTGGTCTATTGAAATGCACTGGGATTTAATCAAATACAACTATATATGTACCTTTTAAGTACCATTGAAGTTCATGAATCTTGTTTCTAGCCAGAACAGTGCAAGGTTTTCTGATAATAAGAAAGACGGGTTGTCTTTCTTTTTTAATTACAAATGTACTGCAAATCATTTATGTTTTATAATGGTTTTATTATCAATAGGCAACTAACCTATTTTTTTTTTTAGAGAATGTATGCAGTTTGACAGGTTTAAGCTATGAGGCTAGTTTCTTATATCTATTCTTTTACTGAGAATCTCAGTAAGTAAGAATTTTTAATATAGTGGCTTCCAACCTTGGGTTGTGTTGAAACCATTAATTCCCAAAAATGAAAAACTGTTACTAAACTTGACTTTCTATTATTATTTTTTTACCAGCTGCCCAGCTTTCTTTTTTAAGGTGTACAGCTATACGAATCTTTTAACACTATAAAGAAGCTGTGTATGGATGCAATCTGAAGCATATCCTAGATCCGTGATGGCAAAACTATGGCACGTGTGCCAGAGGTGTCACGCAGAGCCCTCTTTATGGGCATGCGCACCAAAGCCAACTGCTCTTCCAGGTTCTATCACGTGCATGTGTGAAGTCCAGCTGGCTGGCATGCATGCACACTCCGGAACCTGGAAGAGAGCAACTTGGCCAACTGCTCTGTTCCGGGTTCTGGTGCTCCGGTATGCACGCACACTCCAGTTTCGGCACTCGGTACTGAAAAAGTTAATCATCACTGTCCTAGATGATGTTTGGTCCTCCAAACGCAGTAGGTGGTGTTTTTTTTTTTAAAAAAAAAAATTAGATTATGGTTATATACACCATCTTGCCTCTAGTAGTTCAAGTTGGTTTACTTGGAATCTCCCTTCATTTTATTCCCATAACAATAAACCCGTGAGTTGGATTCAAGCAATATTGGTTGGCTTGATCATCCAGTGAGTTTTGTGTCTGGATGGAGACTTTAATTAGTTCCTCTTAATCCCTGCCTGATGCTTCAACAAACATATGATCAAACAGAAATACATATGCATTTCTTAATGTGCAAAATTAAATTATGCATGCTCTGTCCTGTGATTTTTGCAATGTTGGAAAGGAGTTTCATATGCTAGCTTTTGTAGCTTTCAGCTCAATATTCCGGATATCCCTCTCATAATGGTTTGGGTAATGAAAAGTTTTGAAGGGATAAAATGCATACAATGTACTCTGAGGCAAACACGTGGAAGGCTGAGTTTTGCCTCAGGTTAATTTAAAGTATATGCAACCTGGAATATGTGATTCTGAAGGCTGTTGGATGGAAGCAAGCAAATTACTTTAATAAAAGTAAGAATTCTGTATTTTGCAGAAGCCTTAGACTCTTCAAAACATCAAAAACTCTGTATTGTAAAGAAGATTATTAGGGAACAATAAGACAGTAATCAGTAAATTATGTGAAGTATAGATGAAGCATCTAAGATTAAATCAAAATCAGATGTGACACATGATATAAGCTATAACTTTAGGATACCTTTTTCTTTTCCTCTAGCTCATTCATTTATCCAACTTGGTGCCTGCTGCATGGGGAATAAGTTGAATGCTTCTGGAGGATACCAGGTTGAAATGGTAGCATTAGGTAGAGCTTTCTTTAGACTCTAGACTCTAGGTGCTTGACAATCCTAGACCAGGATGTCAAGGCCCGCGGGGTGCTTAGATCTCGCCTGTGGGGCCGACCTGGAAACAGCGAAGGACTGCATGCGGCCCTCTGAGCTCTGTTTTCGCTGGCAGAGGGTTGCAGTAGGTCGTTGCGGGCGAAAATGGAGCTCAGGCGCCCCTGATACGAGTTATGTCAAGCTGGCCATGCCTCCCAAGGTCAAACACAACCCTGATGTGGCCCTCAATGAAATTGTGTTTGACATCCCTGCTCTAGACCAAGGGTCTCCAAACTTGGCAACTTTAAGACTTGTTGACTTCTGGGAATCGAAGTCCACAAGTCTTAGAGTTGCCGAGTACCCCTGATCTAAAGACTATAGTTTTCCCCAGATCTGAGCTAGAGCAAAATATATCAGTACCAACATGGCATACTTACAAAATCTGACTACTTTTTCCTCCTCTTTTTCTTTTTCTCTTTCTCTCTGCACTTCCTAACAGGTTTGGCACAATGACTTGTCATACAGGGCTTTAGCAGCGTGGCAGAAGTTGGCTGTTTTCAAGTTGCCTTCCCCCTTCCCCCTCCTCCTTCACTTCTGGGATATCTGAGCTGGCTTCTCTTCCCTGGGGGTTCCTTTCCTTCTCCTACTTGCTGCAGAAGGGACCAGTCTACCATGGCCGGAGACAAACTTCCACCCAAAGTGATGGATCCTAAGAAGCTCGCCAGACTCTTGAAGAGCGGGACCGAAGGAATGTTGGTCATTGACAGCCGCTCCTTTGTGGAGTACAACTCCTGGCATGTTCTCAACTCTGTCAACATCTGCTGTTCCAAGCTGGTCAAAAGAAGGCTTCAGCAAGACAAGGTATCCATCACAGAGCTCATCCAGCCAGCCTCTAGTATAAAGGTACTTAACCTTAGCCCTTAGTTATCCACCAAATTCAAATCGTAGTGTGACTCAATATTCCTGTCTTAAGTCCTAATTTTAAAGAACCTGCTCCATTATACATAGCATTGGTGGGTTAGGTTTAAAAAAAAACATCTTATGGTCAGAATTTCAAATGCAAGTCCTACATTTGATTTTATAGCCCTTTTCTTTCATGCATTTTTCTATTTTTATCTAATCCTATGGGGGAGGGGGAAGAGATAGCCCTTCTTCCATCATTCTTTCATTCCTGATTATAGGTAGATTTGTTGCATGATAACAAGCAGTGGAATACTCACTGGAAGAGAGCCTAATGCTTGGAAAGATTGAGGGCAAAAGTAGAAGGGGATGACAGAGAATGAGGTGGATGGATGGAGTCACTGAAGCAGTAGCCATGAGCTTAAATGGACTCCAGAGGATGGTAGAGGACAAGATGGTCTGGAGGAAAGTTGTCCATGGGGTCGCAATGGGTTGGACACGGATTCGCAACTAACAACAAATAGAAAGCAGTGGTGGGGTATCTGTGGCTCTAACTTCAACTCTTAAGTTTTCTGTTTATTGATAACACTGGTTGGGGTTTCAATTCAGCAATATGGAGACTACTATGATAGCCACATTTTCGTTATTTGGTTACGAAGAATAAGAACTCCATGTAATGTGTAGTTCCATCTTAAACCAAAACATGGGCACAAGAGAGCCAAACATTATCTAACATGGGTATAGAATGGGTGCTGGGTAAAATGTACTGTTTCCTTTGGGATGGAGCTCAGTTGAGGAATCTGGAGTTTTAGTTTTACAAATTCATAGATTATGTGAACTTGCGCTTTTCTATCCCTATTTAGGGCCAGTGTTTTATTTCTTCCTTTCTGATTTGTTTATTAGTTCTCTTTATTTCTGGGACTTGTCACATAGGTGTTACAATATGGAGATCATGTATTGTCTCCTTATGACTATTTTGATTTGTGTGATGTCATTACTGAGAACAAATGAAGCCAATTCAAAGTGAGCTTTCTTTTGTGTTATCAGAAAATCCTCCCTCTACATGAAAAACAACAAGAATGAATGGGAAGAAGGTTTGTGTTAGGGGAATGACTCTCATCCAAAAATATAATTAATACAAAAGGTACATTTTAAAAATTATCCTGTCAACCAAGAGAATAAAGAAAGACATTAAAGTATCACTGATATATTTTTTTCCAAGCAGGAATATAATTCAAAGGTTAACTATTGGGCTTTAGTTATGTTGATAGAAAGTTGCTTATATGTTTTAAATGTTTGGAGGAATAAGCCTTGTTAAGAAAGCATCCATACAGCTTTAACATAAAAATCTTGTATCACCAACTATTTTGGAGGTGATAACAAGTAAGAACATGGCAAAAATCCAGTAAATTCTACTTGGATACTCAAAAAACTGTTGATAGCTTTTCAACAGAAGCTACTTAGCTGACCTAGGCTATGAATCAGTTCCTGTATGGACAAACAATTGATTAAAACAGGAAGAGAAGGATAGAACAAATTCTATGGGAGCTATTCAACTTCCCTTTCAATAATTTACAGCAGCACTAATGCTATTTACTTGTTCTATGTAATCTGCACCAGAAAATGAAATTGAATTGAATCCATGCTGATAGGATGGGTGAAAGAGGAACCACTAGTGGATTTATCCATCTCTCTCTCTCTCCTCTCCTCTCCTCTCTCTTTTATCTTTCTCTCTCTCTCCTTTCTCTCTCCTTTCTCTTTCCTCTCCCACCCCCTCTCTCATCTCTCATAGTATAATGTTCCAAATTATATGGACCCAAAAGTACTGTACATAAGAACAAATTTACTGTTAACTTTAGTCACTTATTCAGAATTGAAAACATACATTTAAGAATCAAGAATGATTACATCAGGCATTACACTATGGAAGAAATATATACTTCTTTGCTTTTATTGATAATATTAGTTTTCTTCCACATTCCCCATCTCTGGAAACCAATATCCTTGTTTAGCTATAAATGGGAAAATAATGGGAAGAATAGAATAAATTATCTCAAACGGAATTAGCTGGTTAAGATAATACTATGTAAAATGCTATGTGGAATTTCCATTGCAGTTCTACTTCTAACTAATTCTGCTTCTCTCTGAACTCCTGGCCAGATGCATATATTCTGTTCTCAAGAATTTCAGGTTAACAGAAGTATAATCCTTTGAAGTGGGATTTATGTCAGTGACAATTACTGCAGGCAGAGCAAATTGTGTGCTGAAAGAGGAAGACCATAAGCAATCATTTTACCTTACTAAGGTTTGAATGTCCATAGATATCAGAAAAGTTGTGTATGTTTATTTAACTGAGAAAGTGCTGAGTGCTACTTTTCTGAAATTGGAGAGAGTAATTAAAGGAGAATATTTGTAGCTCAGGGTTGAAATTAGGGATCCTTGGTGCTTTTTAAAGTTGGTTATTTTCTTGCAGGCATTTTATTACTCAAACTAGGTAACATGAGTTTTAATGCTAACGTCAATAGCACTGATGATGTTGCCTAATTTGGGTAATGAAACGTCTACAACAAGGGTTTCAAACTCGATTTCATTGAGGGCTGCATCAGGGTTGTGTTTGACCTTGGGGGGGCTGGAGTGGGCGTGGCCCGGGTGGGCATGGCCAGCTTGACATCACTCGTGTCGGGGGCGTCTGTGGTGGCCCAAGCGCTCTGCCAGCAAAAACAGGTTCCAGAGGTCTGTTTTCAGCTGTGCCGCCCTCCTGCCGCCCTCTACTAGTGAAAATGGGGCTTGAGGCGCATGCACCCCGCCCAAACTCCATTTGTGCTGGCAGAGGCACCATGGGCCACTCCTTTGCTGTATCAGGGTGGCCCCATAGGCCAGATCTAAGCACCCC